GCTATCCACTACGCAAGCGACATCAGAGCTGCACCGAATACTGATGATGACGCCAATTTGACGGCTCAAAAGCAACGCAAAGACCACGCGTGTGTGCGATTACGGACACTTGCTATCCTCTGACCACTGCGAATTAACCGGACTTTCATAAAGAGGTCACTACCCGCGCGCAAAAGCGTATGCTTCATGGTCCACTGATTTGGCTAAAAATTGCGATTATCGGACAAAAAGCAGTACCTCTCTCTCTCTCTCTCTCTCTCTCTCTCTCTCTCAGATGCCAAGCTGTATTACAATGCTACAACTGAAAGGAGAATCCCAGAGGAAAGACAGAAGACTCCAAAAGGTCTTTTTCGGTGAGATAAAAATAGCTGTATATGGGAGGTAGCAAAAGGTGAGTGTCCACTATAGTATTTTCATAAAATAGACTAAGTAGTCAGTAATCCGGAGAGGACTAGAGCACAGCAGGCGTATTGACCTCCGACTCGGCGACAGGTAACGATTTGATGGCATTCCGCAGGACGGTGAGCTCCACTGGACAGGCCTCGAAGCTGTCATTATCGATCCAGAAGAATTCACCCTGTAAGTGGAGAGGATACAACAATTACAGTACATTGATGAAAATGGAGCGACGGTAAGTTATGTAAGGATTCATGAGTCAGCACTAATCACCGGATCGTGTAAAACGGTAACGGTAGAAATGTAGGTTTACGGGTAAGCCCAATCGTGGGTAAGCAGCGAAACGTGCGCAGGAAAACACAAACAAATAAGTAAATTGAGAAGTAGAAGACAACTCGATCGCTGGAACACTATGTTTATTTGCCTGAATAATTCAGTTGACCCAATTGTGAAAATGTGTGGTCTTGGTGCGATTCGAACACACACAGCAGAAAAGACTTTTGCGCAGCCAACGATCTACCATTAAGCTATGAGGCCCGCCGTGAGCCACAATTGGATCAATTTTTTCCGTTCAACCTACTGCTTATATGGAATCCACAATTACGGATACAGTAAGCTGACTGTCCAGACAGTTAACTGAAGTATTAAAATCTACAAAACACCCCAACAATTAGGTAATCTTACTAGTCGCTCTGGTGGATTCTAGATGATTGCTTAGGAAATTCTGCCGGGG